ACCAGTACAGGATACCGTTTCCAAATTTCACGCGAGGTGAATTGTATCATGATGCTCCTTTTCTTACAGACGGCAACCAACTGACTCTACTATATTGCGCATTTGACAAAAACAAATTCAAACAATGCAGTTTTAAGAATTTATGCAGAGTACGAGACTGGCGACAAGCATTCCTCAATCCACATTTGAATTGGTTTTGTGCAACCGTAAGTTCTATGTTAACAGTTTCTTTCCACGAATTTCTCGCTTGTCGAACTCCGTTTCGGTCTTATGCTTTCCCGCCAACTTTAATCTTCAAAAATTAAAATGCAATGTCAATGGCTGTATACTATCCTCCAGATTATTCTTTTTTGTTCTCGTCCCCTTCGTAACATTTCTGTTTCTAATTCTTCCACACTCATTAACCCCCTTGTGTCTTAGTGAATTTACTGCATTACTTACGATGAACTCGATTAAAAAAAACAAAAGAAAAAAAACAAAAAAAAAACAAAACAAAAATAAAACTGTCCCTAAACGTTACTCATTGACCTCTTTGTAACAGATTCTTATACTTTGCCATACTGTGCGTATATGTTCACGTGTTCTCTGTTTTTATGCTGTTTGGAGGCTATTTAAAACTATGAAACTTTCTATGTTTAAACAGAATGAAGGCTTGTATGGTCTCAATGCGATAACTTTTTAAGAGATAAGTTTAAAAAACGTGTGATCAACGTTCAGTACAATTATTTTTATTCCGTCGGCATGTATATCCGAGATTGCAAGTGAAATATTTCCCAGAGTTCATATTCTCAAAAACTACACCTACTATTCAGTAAACATTACAGTAGTCGGCTTAAGTTACATGGTTTTAGTTTGAATTAATTGAGACACTAAATAAAATCGAGATCAACTCTACGAACTTCAACCAAGATAATATTGAAATGAGGTAAAGATTGTATCGTTCAGGGAAGAATCCACGTATGAGTTTATTTCATATATTAGCACTTCGCGGAATAAAAATAATCTGAGTCGAACTTCAACAAAACTTGAATACAGAGGAAATGAATGTGTTTGGTTTCGTTTGGTTTGCTTTATTTTGTTGTTATGGGATCTTACCCATAATAATAATAATGGGCTATTCCATACTTAATAAATACTGCGCCTCAGGAGTAGGCAAGAAGTCCGTCGCTCAAGTCTTGAACGACAAATCGGTTGAACTCTCTGCCTTCGGGCGGGGAGGAACCCGAAAGAGGCTACGCCGAAAGGCGGATTCTCTTTCGGGGAGGTAAACCAACCCTGAACCCGTTTTTACGGGTTCAATGGGCATATTTTTAGCCGAGCCCACGGGCTCGGAGAGCCCACGTTAAAAAGGCCTTGTGCCACATGACGCCCTCGTGGTGGTGGTGGTGGGGTAACTGAATATCGTCAGTCGCTCAAGTCTTAACCGGCTGATCGGTTGAACTCTCTGCCTTCGGCGTACTCTCTTTCGGGGAGGTAAACCGACCCTGAAGCCGTTTATACGAGTTCAATGGGCATATTTTTGGTCGAGCTCACGGGCTCGGAGAGCCCATGTTAAAAAGGCCTTGTGCCACATGACACCCTCGTGGTGGGGGCGGTGACTGAATATCGTCAGTAGTTCAAGTCGAGTTAAGAGTCGAGTCAGAGGCAGTCCAAAACAGAGTCGCGTTCAGACAATTACTGCAAGACATTGGAATAGTGATACTGGTCGAGACTACATTGTTCTCTCTACTAAACCTGATTGTTCATACTAACACTTCTACTTCTCTATATATATTCCTGTTTGTAATATATCTGTGTTATTCCATATCCACCTTCGAGTTCTTCTTTATTGCTTCTACCTTGGACTATTACCGTGGTACAAGTGTGATGTCGCCCCCCCCTGGTCGCAGCGTCGACTCTGTCGTTCTATCTCGTTCGCGGCACTAGTTGTGACGTCACGTGATCTCCAGGCTCTGATATCCTGGTCACGGACAGCACCAGTTGTGACGTCTTTGTCGCGGCGTCAGCTGTTCGCTCCTCGCTGCTCCAAGTGTGACGTTCTAACCCTTTGGTTAGATGAATACCAGCCTCGCCGTTCCCAACTCGCTTCCAACGCCTGGTTACTAGGGTAACTGTACTGATCTCCGGTCTGTCTACCCACGTTGTGATTAGATCTTAGACAGATGGGATCAAACAGGGATTGGGGCCGTATGCCAGCTGGGTTCAACGGGGGTGATAACACACAAGAAAAAGAAAAACTCACGAGGCCAAATATTATTGAAAAAAAAGGGTAACAACCTTTTATATCTAAATGTTCGTTACACAAAATTGTTCCTACCTCCCGACCCGTTTTGTGGACTGTGGCACCAAGCTTCTACCATACAACTTTAAGACTTCGAGTTGCTTGTTCTCTAGAAATTTGCATTTCGGGGTGTGGTTTGGTTTCGACACTGGGCGCTGATCTGTGCCAGTCGTTCACGGCTGATTTCCCTCGCCGTCAGTGCGCGAATTAACTTCTCTTCTGCTTCGGGTGGACGAATTTATTCACTTCGACTTGAGTTTGGATGAATTTCTCTTCATAGGCTTGGTGTGATTCCACCTTCTCCTAGTCACAACTGCAAGTTAACTTCTTCGTCCGAGGCGCAAACCCAACTGCAACTTCTCTGCCTGTCCGGCCTGTAACTGTCTCGCCGTCCGCCCTGCAACTCTTCTGCCTGTCCGGCCTGCAACTGATTTCTGTCGATTGGGGTCCTGCTTTTATTGATGCCGTAACAAACTGGGGTGGGTCTGTCGGCGCCAGGGTTTTCTTGATAATTCCAAAAGTTGCATTATTTCTGATTTCCCATTATCGCTCTTAATTTCACTCCTACTTTCTTACAGTACTTCTGGTGGGGAGGCGCATACACGCTTCCCCTGGTCTCTCGTATGTCAGGTGACCGCTCTCGACCAATGGGGTCCTTGTCGAGCGTCTTTCCTCCTCCCTCGAACATCACGTGACCGCTCTCGGCCAATGAGACCCTGGTCGGGCGTCTCTCCTCCTCCCTCATGTATCATGTGACTGCCCTCGGCTAAATGAGACTCTGGTCGGTATCTTCCCTCCTTCCTTCGTGACGTCTCCAATCGGGCGTGGACAATCCGTGGCTTTGTTCTGGGGGGAAGAAATACCTTGCTTAAAAAAACAAAATCCAAATTGTCCTTTTCGCACGAAAATGACGACCCCGGTTTCTTTCACATTTGGCATTTGTCAAAACAGCCCGCCGCTAATTAGATGTGATTTCCAGGAAAGACTTTTTCCGACTCGTCGGCGTCTTCCGCGAGCTAAAACAAATATTTCACCTCTTTCTTTCGCTCGGGGCCTGTTAACAAAATTTTAATTATCTAAATTGAAAATATCCTCCACTCAACATCCTGGGTGGTTCTTATCTTCAACTCTAGAAATGGTCAGGGTTCGTGTATTAATGTTTTGTTTTCGTATACATTTCCCCAGCGGTTACTTATCATCTCAATGACACCCCTTTTCGTTCGTTACCTATTAATATTTTTTCCATTGTCCTTAAAATCTTATTTCTTCAACCAAATTGATAATAAACTCCCATACTCCGCGGACACGAAAGTAGGTCAGGTGCTTGACCGACATCTGTTATGCATCAATCGCGCGTGTGCCCATTCGCTCACTACCCCGTCTCGTATCATTATTTCTAAACTCTATTCCTTCAACCAATTATAACAATTTCTATTTTCCGTGGATTTCGGTCAGGTACTTTGACCTAGATATCTTTTGACACTTGTTTTGTGTCAGTTTAAGCGTGTTTTGGTTATGACCGAGTTTTGTACGATCTATTTCTCTTTCTCTTTCTTTTTCCTTCTTTTTCTTCCTTTCGGATCGCCTAAATACAATTAGAGAATTATTCTCAAAACTCAATTATTCTTCATCTCTAAATAACTATCAACTGGTTAACAAACCGAATAAAAATAAATCATATTTTTATGAATATCTCTCTTCAGTTTTCTAATAATGCAGGGTGCCACAATAGGAACCGGACCATTACATTTGTATAGCGCGATATCAATCCCTACGGATCATTTCCTGCTGAAATCTAAATAATTTGAATGCAATTTTATGGACACTATTTACATTGTTCGGACTATGGTTCTCATCTTTGGTACCATATTTATCACAACGTTTCAGCCGTTGTACGCTCCGACCTTCTCCAGCTGTTTGGAATGTCGAACTGAACTCTTTATTTCGCTCGCTGGGGTAGACTGTTCTAATTCCACGTTCCATGTCTATGGATGCCAGTTATCAGTTATCTCCTATTAATTTCTCTCTCCAAGTTCTCCACTGCCTTTAACCAGGTATTGAACTCACAACTCTTTGGGTCCTGATACTGGATCTAACTAACGCCTTTATCCACTGTACCATGTGTTCTTATAGACAGACGATTTTATGGCTTCAACTAAATATTTTGACCGCAATTTTATGCTTCACCTACAGATGAAATGTATTGCTGGTCATGTATTGACGATCTTTTTATATATAAAAATATATTTCTGTTATTTTTACTATTAACATGGATTTTCATACATTCATACTGATTTTTATGTGACTGGGGGAGTGCTCAATATCTGCCCATAGCTGTTACCATTCCGAAATGAGGGGAATTAGACTCCATGGCGAATTCTAGCTATAAAGATCCGAGCTGACGGAATTAAAGAATACAACTCATCTGAACATTTTTCTTAGATTTTCTTAGAGTTAATTTGTTTTTCACGGCTTATCAACCCTTTTCAGGTTATTTAAAGCCAGAAAATACTTTTAGATTTCAGTGTTTTCGATCATATAATATTAGTTTAGTATACAGGTCTTACTAATTAAGTGGTGATCGAAGAGGTGGTGTCATACCTTACCCAAGTGTATTTGTGCGTAAGTGAATATAACGAACCCAACTGGAATTGGAACTCGGCTCTCCAATTAACAATTCTGATCCGTTAACCTTTGCACCACCCGTACATTCAAGTTTATAGCACCTGGTGTTCCCAAACGCTCAACCATCTTGGTACTGACCAAACCCGACGTTGCTTACCTTTGGTGATCGTACGAGAACAGGTGTTTCAACATGATGTCTCCATAATCTATTTGTCTTTGAAATATGAATTTATGACAATGTGTCTGTACGGTAAGAGTGGAAAAAATATACCCCTGTAAAAGGAGATGTAAACGACGTTGAACATCAAACTAGAAAATGAGGATTCACAAGATCAATACAGGTATTGTTAGTAATAATGTATTTTTGAAATGTTATATTCCGTGCTAATAGGAATATATACTTAAAAAAACAAGGTGCATAAAATAAGTACTGGTTTATTGTACAAAACCAGTAAAATAAGAATAAAGGTAACAGTTATGCACAAGGTTGTCGCACGTCAATCCAGTAGTGAGTGCCACTATTGGAAGGTCGGTAGTTCTCGCATAAGTCTGAGTCGTACTCAACAAATACCATCTAAAAATATTTACCAGCCTCGCCACGAAGTAGGATGTAGCACAAGGCCGTATTTAATGTGCGGTAATCCGAGCCCGTAGGCTCGACCAAAAATTCTCTGTAATCCCTTATAAACGGGTTCCGGTCTGTCTACCTCCCCGGACGAGACTTTCCCACTATGCATAGCCTCGTCCGGGTTTCTCTCTGCTCGAAAACAGAGAGTTCAACAAGTGCTAAGAGCTGAGTAACAGATCCCAGCTAGACGGTATCTAGCAACTGTCCCACGCACTCACATGTGGTACAAGGCCGAATTTATAGTGGGGTTCCCGAGCCCGTAGGCTCGGCCAAGAAATCCCCGTAGACCCCGCATAAACGAGATAGCGTCTGTACCTCCCCAGACCATACCCTTCGATATAGCTTCGTCGGGGTTCCTCTCTGCTCGAAGGCAGAAAGTTCAACCAGCACAGCTGGAAAATATTCCAGCTAGACTCTGTAGTCCGTTGACTTACAGATACTTATAGGCAGTTACTCATGGGATTGACAGATTATTCCATTACATCATAAATTAATTGATCGAACCAACTGTTTTTCCGGCATATTTAGCGAGTGATCGTATATGTGAGTTCCACTTGAGGTCTAAAATAAACTTGAATCCCAGCAGACGTTTATATCATAGGGCTTAGATGAGAGTGGAGCCGCCATTTTGAGGTCCGATGGACATTTAGCAGATACGACTCCAGAATAGATTTGTGATTAATGTATCTGGTTAGTTTGTGCAATTCTTAAGATTTGAAAGACTTTTGGAAATTCAAATTATCGTACATCATGACAAATATGTATTAAATTCTTCAACATATGAAATTGCGAGTTTCATCAGACGACAAATCGATTTTATGAAGCGAATATACCGCAAAAAGAATGAAAAACCACTTGAGCTATATTGTCATGAAAAAAAAAACGCGAAATATATTAAATCGCCCCGTCTATTGAGTATGAAAGTAATGCCTTTTCCATTCCATTCTCTTGGGCGAAATAAAACTCTTCACTTCAAGATCTTTAGAGGCGAGAGAATTAAAATAGCTTTGGAAGGGATCATCAGGCAAGCTTTGTCTTTCATCTTCGCATGTCAACAGCCGCTAAATTGAGCCATAGTCATCATGTCACGATGGAAAATTAGTTAATATACCCCTAGAGGTTATCGAGCAGTAAGTAATATTTTTCTATTGATAAAAGTCTGAGATAAAAAGAAATCGAACAATAAAACTTTTTTTCTCTCTAACAATAACGTTTGCATGAGATAATCTGAATGATTTGGTATTTATAAATTGGTCGTAGGGACAAAAGAATTATATTCAAAATAAATGATTGCTCCAACCCGCAGGTTGAAGGAAGTAGTGACTTTTTAATAAAACTTATTCGACCTGAAAGCCTAACAAGTCTGACAAAACTACTTTTTGCATCAAAATACGAGTAATGACAAAACTAATTTGATTCCTTCAATTTTGTTTCCATCGTGGCGTTTATTTTCTGCGTAACGCTATCTGCATTTTTGAGATCAGTGCTTCGCAACCGGGGTGTACATGGACCACAAATTTTTTCTACAAATATAGTAATAAGATCCTTTGTGGCCGAGAGGTTAGGCACGTCAAGCTAAATGACGGTTCCCTATAGGATGCAGGTTCGAATCCTGTCATAGGACGAATATTTTCTATGAGAATTTCTCGGACATTCAGGCCGGTAAATGTTATTTAATACTGTTTATTATAAACAGAGCATTTACTAAATTACTTGTATCTATAAAAAGAATGTTAAACATAAAAATGTCTTTAATAAATAGTCGGACTTTGTCCATTTCTTTACATATATATATATATATATATATAAATGTTATAATTTATGATATTAATAATAAATAATAATATTAATTCTAAATATTAATATAAATAAGGAAATAGAGTCGACATTGTGAAAAGGTGTGTTCTTCGACTATGATTGTAATGAAAAATTCGCAGTGCAACATCAACCGTAGGGACGTCATTGAATAAATCTTCATTTTTTTTTAAATTTATTAATTTCTCACATATTTTAAAATGGCTCATTACGAGTTATTTTACTAGTGAGCATAAATGTTCTCTATAATTTAGTTATTAAATACAGGTTTATTTTCATTAAATTAGTTTTACTTCAATATAAAGCATATATTTTTTTTTCTATTTTTATAATACAATTTCTAAACTTATCTATTAGTAAAAAAATAAAATCAGATTTCTTTTTTTATCGAAAGGTTATTGGGGGTCCACAATTTTTTTTTTAAATTAAAAGTGGTCCATGGTTAAAAAAATGTTTGAGAACCACTGTTTTAGTTGAAGAGATATCACTCTATAAATTGTTTATACTCGTTCTCTCATCTTCGGTGTTAGGATCACAACACATCTGCCGTTGTGTCCTCTGGGGCATCGTCAGCTGCTGGCCGACCTGTGTTGCCTTCATCATTTTTCAGTTCAAATTACTAGATGTAACCGTAAGTTCTATGCTAACAGTTTCTTCTCTCGCGCTTCTTGCTTTTGGATATCTCTTTCGGTTGCTTGCTTGCAAGTCAACTTGGATCTTTAAAAATTGTAATGTAATATCAATCGTTAACGTCTGTTTTCTTCAATCCTGTTCTTTTATTTTTCTTTAAACTTAATAATGTTTTTTTTTATTTATTTTTTTCCTTGCATCGGTGTGGCTTTTTTGCCTTGCTTAAGTTAAATGATTCAAATAAAATCTGAACTGGACATATATAATATACGGGGGTAGGTTTTCTCGTTTCCGCTGATCCTATCTCCGGATATCTAGTATAGATATATCGTGTTACTAGTTAGCTAGTAACAACAAGTCTATGCCTTCTGTTGAAACTTGACTAATGCATGGAATAATAATGCAACACAAAGTGTACTTAGAACAAAATGTATTGAAACAAGAAAGTGTACACAATATTTACATATAGTCTTTTGTATATTCCTGGGAAGACCGTTCCTGGAGAATGTGTTGACTGAGTCGCAGTCGGGCAGAGTCTCTTGTTGAATCCCTTGATTCCTCCCTCTCTTCCCGGTACCAACCATATTTATATGGTCGGTACTCCACTATACAAATTAGGTGGATCCTACCACAACACCTTCAAAGCCCGGTTCACGGAAAGAACTCACTATGATTATATTACTAATTTCGTGAAGCATCGCTTAAGACCACTCTCATCTCGGAGGACAATCCCAAGTATAGAAACCTTAAAAAAAATAATCTACCTGCTAGTGCATCTCTTGCTGGAGCTTGTCATGCTTGACTCCATTCTCTTTTTATTGCAGCTGTGGAGGCCTTACTTTCATAAACCTTTCTTCCTTTATTAACGGCTCCAATTTGGTAGAGCTGCTAAAAGGGTCCTTATAGATAAACATACTAAAGAGAAAGAGAAGTTTGCCCGTAAAGACAAAGACCTGTAAAGTTTATTAATTACAAATATTTTTCTTCTTGCTATGACTATTTTGCTACGTTGATATAGAAATCCTTGGAAGAAAGTTTATTGGCATCATCACGCTTATATAGGGTGTTGCAATAACTTGTACGGGTTTTAAATGATAACTAAGTTTAAGCGTCTAATGATTTTTGTCTTTATCTTGCAGATATAACAACCTAATCTTTCCCTGGTTGAAATTGGAAAAGACTTAATATATATTCTTGTGGTACGATCCACCTAATTTACATAGTGGAGTACCGACCATATAAATATGGGTTGGTACCGGGAAGAAGGAGGAACAAGAGATCCAATCCAGAGACTCTGCCCGACTGCGATTAAGTCAACCCATTCTACAGGAACAGTCTTCTCAAGAATATACCAAATCTAACTGTAAATATTGTGTACCTTTTCCTTGTTTCAATACATTTTGTTTACGTACATTTTGTGTTGTATTATTATTATTCTATGCTTATCCAAGCTTCAACATATATATATATATATATATATATATATATATATATATATATATATATATATATATACAGGGGGTGGACAAAATAATTGGAACAGTTGCAAAATCCACTCCTAAAGACCTATTATATTAAGAACTTTAACTAAAACTTTGTAATTGCAGGTTATATCTATTGTAAATACATTTATTTATCTAATTTACTGTCTTTGTCTTATTTATTTTTAGAATTTAGTAAAATTTAAGCTAAATGCGTGACCTCTCCAAGTTCGAAAAAGAGCAAATTGTTGGAGCTCGCATGGCAGGAGCCTCGATCACTAAGGTTGCTGAACTGTTTGTTTCTTCAAGAACTACCATATCAAGAACACTGATGCAATTTGAGTAACAGGGCAAGACCTCTAGCAACCATAGCAATTCGTGCCGGACTTGTAAACTTACTGACAGGGACTGACGTGCATTGAAACGCAATGTGGCAAAAAATCATCGGACAGATGCGGCCAAAATGACTGCTGAGTTGAATAACCATCTGAATACTAAACCTGTTCACCGTGAGATCCATAAGGCCCCATATCATGAAAGTGCCGCTGTAAGCAAAACTCTTCTTTCCACTCGCAACATTCAAAAGAGGTTGAAGTCAAGTCATATTCTCAAACAAGTCCAGTTTTTCTCTTTTC